ATAAGAGGGAGCTAGGGGCGAGAGGAGAGATGGGATCATGAGGTGACAAGGTGTTGGAGCGGGCTCAATGTGCTACAGGCACCATGGAGGTCAGGGGGGTCATGGTGGGCTTAGGGATGACAGGGATCAGGGGGAGTCAGGGCATGCCATGGGGGTGCCAGGGGCAACAGAGGTTCAGGAAGAGCCATGGGGGCTTATTGCCCACCCACGTCCAGCACATGGGGCCCATCCGCACAGCACTTCCTTTGGTGGGGAGGGACAGATTCGAAATGGGGACATCCTTGTCTCTGTCCCTGTCCCTTTCCGCCTCTGGCTGCGGTGTCCCTGACCCTGTCCCCTCCCAGATATGGGGGTTCCCATCCCTGTGCCTTATCATGGGCATTCCTGTTCCCGTGCCCACAATGGGTGTCCCGAAACTTGGTGTCCCCAGCATGGGCCGTCCCTGTCCCCAAACTCTCAGTGCGTGTCCCCACTCCCTGTGCCGTCATGGGTGTCCCCTGTTCACAGTGGGTCCTCCCAGGACTGGGTGTCGGTGTCCCCCCACTCCCAGTGAGTTTCATTGTTCCTGTGTCTTATCATGAGTGCCCCCATGGCCACAGTGGGCGTTCCCATCACCCCCAGCTGTCACCTGTGGCATCACCTTGCAGCCACTCGCAGTTGTATTTGCTGAAGGTCCCGGTGGAGCGGAGCTGGAGCTCTGCCTTGTCCCCTTCCCGGGTTACATTGATGACCTCAAAGGTCTCAAAGGGTGGGATCAGAACCCCATCAGTTGCAGAAGTTGCGGAGTAAAAGCTGATGTCCACACCATGGCACGTGTGAACCTGGAACATCGTCTCCGTGGGGCATCCTGGAGGTGGTTTGCTCAGCCCCATAATGCTGAATTCACCAAACCGGACTGTATCACCACGCTGTGCGTCGAACCGGGTCCCACACACCTCCAGGAACACTTCATAACACTGCCCTTGCAGAGTGTTCCTCAGTGTCGCCATGGCATCGGTCAGCAGGAAATGCAGCGTTTTGTAGGGGAACTTGTCCCTGAATTGCTGCCTGGAGCGGCCAGCCATGCGCACAAACTCATTGAAAAGTCCATACAGGTCTTCCGTCGTGTAGGCCATGATTGCGATGGCCTGGTTTGGGGACAGAGGAGACTCAGGGGGGCCCCAACTCTGCCACGTGGCTGCAGCCTTGGCCCAGATCTGGGAAAACACACGGTTCTGGTGGAACTCAGAGCAGTTGAGGGCCGGCAACGCCGCCATCATGGCAGGGCCACAGCCCCGGTACTGGTCATCGAAGGAGTCCCAGGCCATGTCCAGTGATTTCACTTCGTTGGCCACAGTGGCCATGGCCATTGCCAGCAGTGCCAGGGTCTGCACCAGGACAGCCATGGAGTGGAGAGGCCACAGGGACCAGGGTGGAACACTGGGGGACACAGAGCAGACACAGGGGAGACACAGGAAGGATTCCTCAGTGAGGGACTGGGGGGGGTAGTGGGGTCAGCCCAGGGGGAAGGAAGGCACTCCTGGCCAGCATACCCCAGGGCATGTCTGGGGTCCCTGATCCCAAATCCTGGGGTTACTTATGCCTCCGCAATGTCTCCCAGCCCCAGGGACCCTAATCCCAATCCCACAGTACTGTGTCCTCCTGGTCCTCCAGAAGCCCAGTCCTACTCCCATGACTACAAGTCCCCTCAGTCCCAGCAGGATCCTGACCCAAATCCTGGGGTCACTCCTTGAGTCCCCCAGTGTCCCCCTCAGCCCATCCCCAGACCACAATCCCACTCCCAGTCCCCAATTTCTTCAGTGTCACCCCAGGACATCAACCCAAATCCAGGCATCAACCCCTGCCCCCGCAGTGTCTTTCAGGCCCCCCCATAACCCCAATCCCTCTCCCACCATCCCGTGTCCCACCTCATTTTCTCCCAGAGTCCCCCATTACCCCAATCCCAGTCCTGTGATTCTCCCATTGTCCCCCCATGTTTACAATCCCAATCCCTCAGTCCCGTGTCCCCCCCAAGATTGCCCAGGGATCCCCCCACCACGATACCAAAATCAGCCAAAGTGAACTCCCTGATGGAACTGGAGATATCAGAAAGCCAGAATTCTTTATCAGCTCAGACTCACAGCGGATCTCTCCTGGCCCTGCAGGTCACGGGGGACTTTGCCACAGGGTCTTTATCCACCACAATTATAAAGTGCCTCAGTCCCTCACCTAGAACAGAAACGTCACTTTTCTGAGAAATACTTTACATGGCTCCACCTCTTTCTGGAAATCCTTTTATGGTCCTGGAGAGTCCTAAAAATGAGTTTTCTCAGTGTGGTTTTCACTGAATGCCCCAATATCCCAGACGACCTCTGCTTGAACTTTAGGCAGACACTGCTGTTCCTTCTCTGTTACACAATTTGCGAAAAAACCCCTCACTGGAGTTCCCTTTTGTCTCTTTCGCTATAGGTTCCAGCCACCTTTGCCCTGCTGTGTCCACACTTCTACATCCTTTTATGCTTGTCATCAGTTCATCTTTAAGCTGTACCCAGCACCATTAAGGGATCTAAAACTTTCTATTCTCTCTCTTATTGCTCAGCCTTCAGGACCCTTATCCCACCATCCCATTGTCCCCCCAGTTGCCTCTAGTCCCACTCCCCACTGCTCACTGAGTTGCAGTCACACCTCAGATACCACTTGGGCTCCCCGATCAGATGACATCTGTGGAGGATCAGCAATGGGACATCACATCATGATCAATATGATCAAGTGAAGTCAAGTTTTATTTATGATTAGAACAAACTGTATTTATGTTTTGTTCTACTGTTCACACGCCTCAAGCTAATACATGATTGGTTCAGCCTATCTGTGCACACATCTCAAACCTTCAGCTGATTGGTTAGTCTTCTTTCTTCATGCATCTCATTGTGGTTTATTGTTTTGCCTTCAGGCACTCTGCTGCAGTTTTTTGCTCCGTCTTCTTAGCGCGCCTCACATCCTGGACTTGTTTTTCTCCTGAGTAGGCTCTTCCTGTTTTTGAGCTACTGGGGACAATGTGAAATTCTACTCAGACCCCTTAAAGGCTGACTTGGGCACAGTGTCCATTTTCACACAAAAATCCCTCAACAGACATCCCTGTAGGCACCTTGAGCCTGGGCATGATCTCTTGGGGGAGTACCTGGGTTACTGAGCTGAGCTGAGCTGAGCTGAGCTGAGCTGCCCAAAGAAATGACCGTACTTCAATCCAGGACACACCATCTTGGGGATCAACAAATCCCTGTGGGAAGTAGACTTGCATTAAAACTGCAGGAGAGGTTCCTTTGAATTCAAAACCATCACCACCAGGCATCACTGAAAGAGGAAACACTCCTGGGGAGTACTGGCAAATGGCTTTTCTGAGCTACCACACCAACATGGTGTGGGCTCAGGTATCTCCTGGTGTTGGTGGATCCCTTTTTTGGGGTACACAGAAGAGCAAATGTGGGTGGAACCTGTGGAGAAATAGATAAATGACACTCCTGTGAGGGATTTTGGCAAATTCTGTAACACAGAAGGAGCAGTGTCTGCTGAAATTTAAAGCTCAAGCTGAGGTCATTTGGCATATTGGGGCACTCATTGAGAACCACACTGAGAAAAGTCATTTTTAGGAATCTCCAGGACCATAAATAGATTTCAAGAAAGAGGCAAAAGGATGCAAATTATTGCTAGCAAATGTGCTGTTTCTGTACTAGGTGAGCTACACATTGTAATGAATATTTGCATTTGAGGTGGGTAAAGACCCTGTGGCAGAGTCTCCTCTTACCTGCAGGATCAGGAGAGATCCACTGTGAGTCTGAGCTGATAAATAATTCCGGCTTTCCGATATCTCCAGTTCCACCAGGGAACTGGAGGTGCCACTTTGGCTGATTTTGGTATTGGGGCTAGGTGGACCCCTAGGAACTCTTGGGGGGGACATGGGACTGAGGGATTTGGATTGCGGTGTTGGGGAGACACTGGGGGAGTCACAGGTCTGGGATTGGCGTAATGGGGGGCTCTGGGAGAAAATGAGAGGAGGACACAAGATAGTGAGAGTAGATTGAAGTGATGGGGGGGCCTGAAAGACATTGTGAGGGCAGGGGTTGATGCCTGGATTTGGGTTGATATCCTGGAGTGACACCGAAGAAATTGGGGACTGGGAGTGGGATTTGGGCTCTGGGGCTAGGCTGAGGAGGACACTGGGGGACTCAGGGAGTGACCCCAGGATTTGGGTCAGGATTCTGCTGGGACTGAGGCAACTTGTAGTTATGGGAGTAATATTAGGCTTCTGGGGGACCAGGAGGACATGGTACTGTGAGATTAGGATTGTGGGATTAGGATTTTGGGGTTCCTGGGGCTGGGCAACATTAGGCAGGCCTCAGTAACCCCAGGATTCAGGATCAGGGACTCCAGACATGCCCAGGGGTCTTCTGGCCAGAAGTGCCTCCCTTCCCCTGGGCTGACTTCACTCCCCTCCCCAGTCCCTCACTGAGGAACCCTCCCCATGTCTCCTCTGTGTCCCCTCTGTGTTCTGCAGTGAGCAGGTACCAGTTCAAGGGAAAGCCTGGTGACATCGTCCATTTTGGTCAATTCATGTCGGCGTCAGAGAGTGAAACAACAGACAAGATATTTGGGAATGCCACAGTGTTCCAGGTGCACATGTGCCACGGGGTGGGGATCAAGCAATTCTCCAAGTGTCCTGACAAGGAGGTGCTGATCTCACCCTTTGAGACCTTCGAGGTCATCGAAGTCTGGCAGGAAGTAGAAAGGGTGAGGATTCAGCTCTGCTCCAACGGGACCTTCAGCAAATACAACTGCGAGTGGGTGCCAGGTGACACCAGAGGTGACAGCCTGCGAGGATGGGGACACCCACTGTGGCCCATAAGAAGGCACAGGGACAATTACACTCACTGGGCATGGGGGACAGGGACATGGGCACCCACTGTGTTTGTGAGAATAGGAACACCCACTGCTGGGAACAAGGACGGGGGTTCCCTGTGCTGGGGACACTCACAGGGGGTGGGGGTCAGCAACATCCAGTGCTGGGGAGACCCACTGTGGACAGGGGACACCCAGGACAGGGCACAGAGGCTGGGGACACTCACTGAGAGTTTGGGGATGGTGACAGCCCATGCTGGGGACACCAAGTTTGGGGACACCCATTGTGGGCACAGGAACAGAAATGCCCATGACAAGGCACAGGGTGGACACCTGTGGACACAGGGCTGGTTTTAGCCCAATTCAACACGAAAATCAGCACAAGAGCCCTCTCAGTGCAGCCCCAATGGCCACAAATGCAGCATTGACCCTTGGCGACATTCCAAGCAAAGCATCCTGACACATCCTGCATTTTAGGGGGACCTTAAAGGCTGGAAACTGAGAGGTTCAAGAGGGCAAGGGCAGATCCTGCCCCTGGCGAAGGACAGTCCCCAGTGCCAGTCCAGGCTTGGGAGAACCTGCTGGAGCAGCTGTTGAGAAGGACCTGGAGGAGCTGAGTGGGTAACCAGTGGAACTGGCCATGTGGCCTGGGGCCAGGAGGGATCCAGGGAATGCTAGAAAGAGTGGGGTCAATATGTCAGGATCCCTCCATCCCAAACCATTGCAGAGCCCCTGAGGCCAGGATGGGGCGGGGCAGGCGCTCAGCAGTTCCAGCAGCTCGTGCTGCCGCCTGCTGTTGGCACCCGGAACTGCAGCTGGGGGCGGTGCATGTGCAGTGCTGCTGATTTCCCGCACTCGCTGCTGCCCTCCGGTGGACAATTCCCGAACCACAACTCCAGGAGATGGGCGGGTAAAGAGGGAAAATCCCTGATTTGAAAGAAAAAAGAGTTTCCTGAGTGAAACATCAGGGTTTTTCATCAATAAATGGGTGGTGCAGCCTCTGTCCCCTTTTCTCTGTTTTATTTTTCATGCTTTCTCATTCTGCTTGTTTTTCTTTCTTTCCTTCCAATGCTGCTTCTGAAGTGTTACCTCAGATCAGGAACTTTGGAACTGGCCCCAAACTGATTATTCATCCATATAAAATTGCTCTAAATAGCCCCTGCCAGCTCCCTCAGACCTTCCTGATGCTCCAGACCCTTTCCCAGCTCCACCCTTTCCCTGGACATGCTCCAGGTCCTCCAGGTCCTTTCTGAGGGTCTGCAGTGAATGAGGAAAAGGAGAGGAACATTTCTCTAGCACCTTTTTGTATATCAAAGTTTGAAAAATAAAGCTTTGATTTCCCTCTAACAAAAACTCCAGGAACTGCTTTATTTTACGAAATGTGGCACTCAGCAGGGGAGGCGTTAAGAACTGGACATGACCCCTAAACATGTCCTGGAATCTGATGTCAAATCCTGGGGTCACTTCTGGATTCCCCAGTGTCCCCCAGACCTGCCGACTCCCAATCCCACTC